AACCTGATTGATGCCTAACTGCTACCCTGACAGCCCTCAACTGCCCTCCGCTGCCAGCCTGGTCACCTCTAACTGTCCATCCCCCTGCAAGCCCAGTTGCCTCCAACTACCCGTCTTTGTCGTCCATCTTGTGACAATGTGAGGGCGTTGCGCAAGGGCCACCTAGTGCACATAAGAAAACAAAACACAATGAACAAAAAAGCAGAAAAAAACAATTATCAATAAACTCTGTCCCAAAATCACTTTAGATTCTAAATTATCAGAAGCACAAGAATGTAAAAATAATTATGTACACTATATTTAAAGAAATACCAGCCAACTAGACTACCAGAAACAATAAGAAATGTATCTGGAAAAAAAAAAAATCCATGGAAATTCTAGATCTGGAAAATATAACCAAAATCCAAAATTAATACCTAGGTTGATGGTGTTTAACAGTAACTAAGAAAATTAGTAAACTGAAAGATTAAAGAAATTAACGCCGAAACCGGTTTGGCTCAGTGAATAGCGCATCGGCCTGTGGACTGAAAGGTCCTGGGTTCGATTCCGGTCAAGGGCATGTACCTTGGTTGTGGGCGCACATCCCCAGTTGGGGCTGTGCAAGAGGCAGCTGATCGATGAACCTCTCTCATTGATGTTTCTTTCTATCCACCTCTCTTCCTCTCTGTAAAAAGTCAATAAAATATATTTGAAAAAGAAAAAAAGAAAAAGAAACTATCAAAAATGTAGCACCAAGAGATAAAGATATAAAGAATGGATAAGAAAAGGTAAAAAACCTAGATGACACAGTGAGAAGGATTTAACATACATTTAATTGAAGTCCCTAAAGAAAAGAGAGAAAATGAGATAGAAAAAATAATAACTACAATGGCCAGAAAATTTCTAGCAGCTCAGGAGAGATCCTAACCCTGACAATAAGAAGAAATTCCCATCTATTATAGATATACTATAAATAAAACTTTAGAAAACTACATAAAAACGTTCATAGCTTATTTAAAACTGAGCAAAAGTTAAACTTGCAAAAATGAAATAGAATATCTTACCTAATAATAGAAACATGTAAATTGACCATACCTCTGATATGCTCACAGCCAATGAGTATGCAAATTAGCCAAAGAAGATGGAATTTAATTTGCATACATACCTGGGTCTCGGGAACCTCCTCGGCACCCAGGTCACTCCCAGCCAGCCATCGGAGGGAGAAGGGGCCAAGCCTGCGTTAGGAGGGGCAGGGAGGGTGCCCACATCCCAAGCCTAAAGCTTGGGGCAGAAGCTTTACACTTGGGAAGGGGCCTAGCCTGCGACCAAATGCAGACCATCCGTAAGTCAGCACTGGGTTGCCCAGCTGCAGCCTGGTGACCCAGCACTGACTGCCTAGATGGCTGAGACCCAGAAAGTGAGTCAGGGTCTGATCTGCAATCTCAGTGGAAGCAGATGATCAATGTACTTACCTCTCTCTTTCTTTCTTTCTGATCTTTGCCAGCAGCCAGTCTTTTCTTTCTCTTCCAGCCTCTGTGGGGTCGGTCTGCCGGGATAAGCCTTGCCTCTTTAATCAGGCCCATAATAGGCCTGGAGATGCTGACTTGCATAGGAACTGACCAATCAGAACCAAAGGTGGGCACTATGGGGAGCCAATGGCTGCCTAAGAAGCTGAGCTTTTGGTGCTAACAAAGGAGCTGATCAATGAGAACCAAATCTGGGTGGTGTGGGGAGCCAATGGCTATCTAGGAGGCAGAGCTTTTGACACTGACTGGCATAGGAACCGACCAATGAGAACCAAATTGGCCAGCAGAGGAGGGCAGCTGGGAGCGACAAAAGGCCTGCAGGAGAGGGCACTTAGGGGTGATCAGACTGGCAGGCAGAGGCAGTTAGGGGCAATCAGGCAGGCAGGTGAGCAGTTAGGAGCCAGTGGTCCCAGATTGTAAGAGGGATGTCTCACTGCTGGTTTAGGCAGGTTCCCTGGCATTGGGCCTAAAATGTCAATGGGACATCCCACAAAGGGTTCCCAATTGAAGTGGGTGCAAGCTGAGTTGACGGAATCCCCCCTCCGTGCACGAATTTTATTCACCCGGCCTCTAGTGGTGGAATAATAGCTTCAGTTATATGCAGGAGGAAAAATAACTGCCAATCCACATAGGAGCAAGCCACTATAGAACACATGTAGTGTAATTCCATTTCTATTTAATACAACAGGCAAAACTAAACTCATCTAACATTCATAGATGACCAAAATGTTAAGAATAGAAAACAAATAATTATTATAGAAGTTAGAATAATGGTAATGGGAGGGAGAGAATTCAATTAGGGTGGAGAACATAAAGGTTTCTGGGGATGTTGGCAATGTCTACATCTTTTTTTTTTTAATAAATCTTTTTAAAAAAAATATATTTTATTGATTTTGTACAGAGAGGAAGGGAGAGAGATAGAGAGTTAGAAACATCGATGAGAGTGTCATCGATCAGCTTCCTCTTGCACACCCTCTACTGGGGATGTGCCTGCAACCAAGGTACATGCCCTTGACCGGAACCGAACCCGGGACCCTTCAGTCCCCAAGCCGACACACTATCCATTGAGCCAAACCAGTTTCGGGCAATGTCTACACCTTGTCATAAATAAAATACTTCCTTAAGCCCAGCTGGTGTGGATCAGTTACCTGGGCTTCATCCCCTACACTAAGAAGTCAAGGATTGACTCCAGGTCAGTCAGGGCACTTACTCGGGCTGTGGGCTCAATCACCAGTAGGGGGCATGCAGGAGGCAGATAATCGATGTTTCTCTCTTCCCTTCCTTGCCTCTCTCTCCAAATCAATAAAAACATACTTTAAAAAAAAGATAAAATCATATAAATATTAGAGTTAAAAGGGATTCTTGTAACTGCTAGTCTTGCCACAGGAATCTTCTTTTTAAATCCTCACCAGAAAATATGGTTGCCTCCTGCATGTGCCTGGACCAGGGTTGGGGAGTGAACCATCAATCAAGGTACTTGCCCTTGACTGGAAAAAAACCCAAGACCCTTCTGTCTAAGGGCTGATGCTCTAACCACCAAGCAACCAACCAGAACAGGAACCTTTTTTTTTTTTTTTAAATAAACTTCTGAACTCTACTTGCTATGTAGTATGTTTTCAGTTAAATAAGTAAATAAATAAATATATTCATATATATATATATGAAACTTGCTCAATAAGAGACAACTAGTATACACCGGTTTAGTATATTTAGTCAAAGGCAATTTGATGTTTTAGTCTCATCTTTATAAAAAAAAAATACAGTTTCTATTAGGCATTTTAAAAAATGAAAATAAATTACAAGTACTTTTCTCTTATCTAGTATACCCCAGGGGTCAAGAGACACTTAAATGATCCATTTAATCCAACTTCCTAATTTCACATATAAGGTATGTAAATAAAGTAATCTGCTAAGTAGAAAAATTTAAAATCAAATGAAACACAACCTCAAGTGGGCTATTCCCACCAGTGATAAAAATAAGAAATGCTCCACACTATACACATTATAATTTTCTTTGTCTTTTTTTATTTAGAGATTTTTCTGGTAAGGAGATATACCATAGGAAAGCAATTTCACTGGCAGTGAGGTATGTATATACTCTACCAAAATACTCCTTATTTAATGTTTTAAACTTTATTTACATACGAAGAAAAGTATCAATGCATATCCTTGTTTCAACTATAGTATTAGCCATACTACATGAAATAAAATGAAATGGTGCTTGCATATAAAAAACTGTCATTTGTAAAGGGATCTGACTTCAGATTAAAAGAACCAATTTGTTTTTGGAAAAGTTGAAAGGAAGAATCACAATCTCATGACCAAGACATCTGCACCATATTTTCCATTCCTCACAGCACATTTATTTCAGTAATTCCGTTATGTCGGTTCTTAGCATAAGCATAGTGTTACACGATTTTCGTACATATAATCACATCCAAAACAAGTTCTAAAATTTAAATTGTAAACATTCTCATCATATGTAGAAATATTTCAATTGGTATATTAAGTTTTGCTACTGATCAATTTTGGAAGAGAATATAAATGAGAAAACCTATTCTAAATTGTGTAGTGAGCATCATTTATTAATTACATTTCTACAATGTTAAATAAAGAGGCAAACCTGTCCTGTAAGCATGTCAAATTTTAGGTAAACCATTAAAAAGAAACAAGTCCGTTAACAAAATGATGCCTTGCAATAAAGAACATTAGATTTTAAAATCTATTATGATACAAAAAATGTAAAGGGTAAATAGCATCTTTGTTGACAAAGTAGGAGGTAGCATGGATGCACCACTTTATTGTCTTGAGAAATGCAACTGGAGTAAAGAATATTTCCTTACCACAAATAATTTCCAGGACTATGTACATATTTCTTTTAGAAATACTTGTTTAAACAAATCTCCCTCCACTTTTTAGTATAAAAAAAACCATTCCGTGTGATTTTAAAAAAACACTTACACATTTAGATAGTACTCTGCCCTATATGAGTGAACAGTCTCCATCTATGAAGTACATGATATTTAATGCCCTAAGTTGAGTAAATTTAGTTAGCGGTTCCAGGTATTATACAAAACACTACATACAAACAAAATATAATATCTTATTTTTCAATGCAAGTCTTGTGGGGAATAAACAGAACCTTGATTCTGGTAACACTGCAGAAAACATAACTTTCCAATAAGTCTGTCTTTAAGTATCCATGTGCAACAGTTTATTAACGACTGCTTACATGTACTGATCTTTTACTGAACGAATACAGTTAACTGAAAAAATTCAGTAAACCTTGAAAACACATATTCTGTCCTATATAAAATATATAGACTACTTACTGTTTGAAGAACTCTATTTGTTCTGATGCCACCATAATTCACTTTTCCCCCCTTTCCTGTTTAGTATTTATAAATGGATAATTTAATGTGGCTTAAAAAAAAAGAACAAAGAATTTCAAATTTACACCTAATTTATATTTGCTATTTAAAAGGTTTCATTGTTCTATGAAGCTGCTTCTGCCATTAGTAGAGAAAATGAAGTTTCTGTAATGGAAGCAGGCTTTTTAAACAGTGACGTGACTTCCACCATGCCAGCTCCAGTCCGGGGAAGGTTAGCGTTTACAATGTGTCGTTGCAAGTGCTTAATCCAGTCTTCCTGAACAGACAACGGTCCACGAAAGACTAGGCCACAAAACCTACAGAAGAAGTTAATGACAAGTTAATGACAGCTGTCTTAACATGACCAATCCCCTTTATTTAAAACCAATTCCCCCCAAAATCAATAAACATAACAAGTAAACTTTACCATATATTAGAGAGTTCTTGACAATCGTTTCTAAATACATATAAAGTCAAAATGACTTAATACAATATCAAAATTGCCAATTCATGTATTTAACAGCTATAATAGCTCCAGTAATCTTTATAGAAATGGGAACATTAGGTTAAAACGAAAGGTCTGAACACCTATAATTAAAACAACTATATTTCCAAAATGTATCTTCTTTTTAAAAGATCCTTCAGAATTCCTTAAACTGCATGATGATGAGTACGGAAGGGAGGTATGAATAACTGTATAGCTATACTTAGAAGTATATGTTCCCAATAAGCAGAAGCTAAATGTGTTCCAGTACGCAGAAACTAAAGATAATTTTTTAAAAAACCAAATCAAACTAAAGCAAATAAATAAAACAACAAAAAAAGCTAATTCTGTGATAATTCACCATATCACAGAGCTTCTTGGCTAATATAAAAAAGTTAATCCATTAGTTACTGAAGTACAGCATTTATGAACTAAGTTAAGATTTTAAACTTGTCTTAAAAAATTCATTTATAATTTAATTTGGAGAATGTACCTCTGCCACAAATTAAAAATACCGAATAAGAGTTAATGTATCTCAATCCAAAATCTGAACTAAGCATATTTAGCAATATAAGCATGTACCTGCATCTGAGAATGTAAACCTCGTCAGCACCATGAGGTAAAGTTAGCATTTTCTTCTTGCTTCCAGATCTTGACCTTGATTTCTTTTGCTTACAATCTAAGCCTAAAAAAGGGAAGAAGAGAAAGACATTTTTAATATATTTCCAATATACACATCCAGACATACTTGTATTTCTAGAGAGGTGAGACCATCTAAATCAAGTTAGAAATGTCTGCAATTCTTTGTATCACCTAAAGCCGTAGTCGGCAAACTGTGGCTTGCGAGCCACATATAGCTCTTTGGCCACTTGTGTGTGGCTCCTCCAGAAAATACCACGGCTTGGGCAATCTATTTTGAAGAAGTGGCGTTAGAAGAAGTTTAAGTATTAAAAATTTGGCTCTCAAAAGAAATTTCCATTGTTGTACTGTTATTTGGCTCTGTTGGCTAATGAGTTTGCCGACCGCTGCCCTAAAGCATGCCGATTGAGCTGTTTCTCTAATAGCAGTGATATTGTCTACATGCATTCTTCCTGTAATGCTTTACTGTATCAGGCTGAGAAGATGTAATGACCTGAAGTCATTAAGTTGGTCAAATTTTACAATAATGGTATTTCTCTTATAATCGTATATCCATTTTAACATCTGGTTAAATCTTCTTTATTTCCAGGAAAATTATAATGTTTTATTTAAGTTTGTACTGCTTCATTAAGACCTTACAAGCTTTAAAAACTTAGAAAGGGAACATCAACAATGTAATAAAAGTTTCAAAGAAAATTAATTTTATAGTAATTCACTTTGAATTCTATTATAATGAATAGTGCTCAAAATTGTATGATGACCCTACATTGAAAGGGTAAATAAATAAAGCTTAATTGTCATTTTTTAACTCAATATGTGAAACATGTATAGCATACGTTTTATTTTCTGGAAAATAAATATAAATCCAGGTCATTTCATGAAAGTTTGCAAATGGATCAGAAGTTTAATGCTATTTCTTACATGCTTTCATTTCGTTTTCTTCCATAGCTACTTAAAAATGTAATTAAAAGGAAAAAACAAGATTTTTATATTAAATTAGATCAAACTTTTAGTGCTAATTGTTCTTGAAAATATTTTATTGCTTTTCCTTCAATCAGCTATTCCACAAAATCTAATTTAAAAAAAGGATTATTTTTAGAGGTAAGAATAGATAGGACATAACATTTTATTGGTCTTTGAATACAGCTACAGATAAAGGGACAAGAGTACTATAGGATCTGCTGGTCAATTAGCAGGAAGAGAAGGTAAGGAAGCTGTATCTAGGGACCCAAGGGGGAGGGAAACAAACATAACGGAAGAGTTCGTTTTCTTCTGTTAACCTGCCATGTGAAATCCTCTGGAAAAATTCTAGGTGAGAAAGAATAAGAACTGGCTCTTCAATTATTCCATAAAATGAGTTGTTCAAAGTCCAGATTTCAAAAGAACAGATGCTATTATTACACAACCAGTAAATACACAATTCCTTACAGCAGTCAGGTGGCCAGTGCAAAGGAAAATTAGAAACCACGAGAAGCCTAAATCTCATTCAAGCCACTGGTTTCTGCTTCCTTTCGTCTGCCTCTTTACCAGTAACATCTAGAGCCCACAGTCTCTTTCTGCTTATTCTCAAAAGAAGAATCTCATAAGAAAAGAACTACATACAGGAAGTCAAGTAAGTATTAAAGAATGGCTAATGCAAAGCTTCAACAAAAACCTGAAATAGAAAAATCATGTAAGGTTCTCACATGTCTCAGTCAAGAGCCCTGAGCATAATAGGAACTCAACAAATACTTCTGAAGTAAAAAAATAAAAGAAAACCCAGTAACTTAACCTCTGACATTTAGAGCATATAAATGGAAATTTGTTCCATCTGCAGTAATATAGGTAACATTCATGTAAAACACCTCTGCATCATTTAAGTGAGTATGTTGCTAATGTCACACTTAAATTCTTCACTGATCAGTCTAGCTTATGTGTAGAACCGAGGTTTTTCATAACTAGTAGGAAGAGTGAGGTTTATGTACTTTGCAATCAGTACCTTCTTTTTCTTAGTTGCATTGGTGAGCAATTTCAATTTAAATAAATTTTAAAGCAATGGATACATTAGAAGTAAAGATTTTAGGACACTTAAAAGCTATATGTCAGTTACTCTTTCCCTATCTCTGTTACATAAAATAGAGCAGATATTTGGTATATCATGAGATTACAGATAGAATCTTACTTTGATGAGCTTGCTGGTTGTCAAAATTACCACTGTATTCAAATTCCCTTTAAAATGTAAAAAAAATTACTGTAGGATAAGAAATAGAATACATTATAGCAATCCTTTAAAAAATCGTTCACAGATTGCTAATGTTAGGTATGTAAAACAAATTGAAAAAGAAGGGCAGAGGGTGATGAGAAAGTATGCAAACTAATGTTTTATGAAGTTACACTAAGTATTCAAGTTACATTCGGATGCTGTGATACCTTTTAAATGGAACTGGATAGGTTTACTCTGAAGTATAAAAATGTTTCTTAACTTTAAAAGAGAAAAAAATAATTTTCCTGACTTTTGATGTTATGTAAACTCTAAAACCCCTGAATTTTAGGCTGCTTTATAAATGATCAGCTATAAAATTTAAATGAGCATGCCACAGGTTGTATTTTTTTATTTTTATTTTATTTTATTTTAATTTTTTAAATTTATTTTTACATATTTTATTGATTTTTTTTTTGCCCCCTCCTTCCCTCCCACATATCTTCTCCTTCCCCAGAATTTTATGTACATTGGTTGTACTTATATGCATGTATACAAGTCCTTGGGTTGATTTATTATCTCCCCCAGACCCTCCTCCCCTCCCCGCTGTAATTTGACAATCTGCTTGTTGCTTTACTGTCTCTATATCTATCTTTTGGTTCATCAGTTTATAATGATCTTTATTATCCACAAATGAGTGAGGTCATGTGGTGTTTCTCTTTCATTGATTGGCTTATTTCACTCAGCATGATGTTCTCCAATTCCATCCAGGTTGCTGCAAATGATGAGAATTCCTTCTTTTTTATGGCAGCATAGTATTCCATTGTGTAGATGTACCATGGTTTTTGGATCCAATCATCAGCTGACGGGCACCTAGGCTGTTTCCAGATTCTGGCTATTGTAGATTGTGCTGCTATAAACATAGGGGTGCATATATCCTTTCTGATTGGTGTTTCTAGTTTCTTGGGATATATTCCTAGGAGTGGGATTACTGGGTCAAATGGGAGTTCCATTTTCAGTTTTTTGAGGAAACGCCACACTGTTCTCCACAGTGGTTTCACCAGTCTGCATTCCCACCAGCAGTGCACGAGGGTTCCTTTTTCCCCGCAACCTTGCCAACACTTGTCGTTTGTTGATTTGTTGATGTTGGCCATTCTGACAGGTAAATGAGCATGCCACAGGTTTTAATATTTGAAGGTATTGTGACTTCGGAAAGTCGGACAACTCTGCCAGTATACAATTATTTCCAGTATCCAGAGTTCCAAGTAAGTTTAGAGAATCACATACATTGGGAATTCTTGAAAATATACTTAAACTAGAGGCCCGGTGCACGAAATTCGTACAGGGGGTATGTGTCACCCTAGCCCAGTCTGCACCCTCTCCAATCTGGGACCCCTTGAGGATGTCCAACTGCCTGCTTAGGCCCAATCCACTGGCTAGGATTTCCCTCTCACAATCCAGGACTTTTTGGCTCCCAACTGCTGCCTGCCTGATTGCCCCTAATAGCTTCTGCCTGCCAGCCTAATTTATGCTTAACTGCACCCCTGCCAGCTTAATTGCCCCTAACTGCTGTCCCCTGAAGGTCTGGTCACCCACAAATGCCCTCCCCTGCAGGCCTGGTTTTCCCAACTGCTCTCCCCTGCAGGCCTGGTTCCCTCCCAACTGCCTTCCCCTGCAGGCTTGATTGCCCCCAACTGCCCTCCCTTGAAGGCCTGGTACCTCCCAACTGCCTTTCCCTGCTGGCCATTTTGTGTCCACATGGGGGCAGCCATCTTGTGTTGGAGTGATGGTTAATTTGCATATTACTTTTTTATTAGATAGGGTATTTCAGTCTTAATATCTCCATTATCATTTTAAACACCTTAGCCCCTGAAATGTCACTTTATTTAGAAAGTAAAACAAATATATTTTAAAAGAACAATTTTTTGTAATACCAATATTCAACCTTTATCCTTGCAATACTGCCTAAATAATTTAGGAAAACATTTTTATAAAAAAAATTTGAGTATTTAACATATTAATGTGAACACAAATGGGACACCTGTATGTTATTTTCTATAGGAAAAATATGATTTACACAGTATGTTCCATTAAATGAAAAGATGATGTACAAATATGTCTAGAACACAAATGTTCTAATTTAACAGATTTTATTGTATCTAGAGCGAAAAGCAGTTTCATTCTGGACTGTATATCAGGAGTCACTACAGCATTTTAAAAAAAGAACATCACTAACAGTAGCTTTAGTATAATGGGGCTCATCAATATTTGTGATAAATAGTCAAAGGTTTAAAAAGTTGTGTATATTAACAATCTGCCAAATAGATAACTTTATACAAAGCCTTGATTTGCACTTGTTAGTGTAAAAAAAAAAAACCCCACAAAACATATACATACCATTTTCCTCTTGAAGAATTTTAAATCTAACATTGTTTTTGTACTGAAATTTACAAAAAATACAACATTATTTTTAGAAAATCTTAATTTTCCTCTCCAGGCGTATAACTCCTTTTTTTTTTTTTTTAAATAAACAAACTAACTCAGTCACTCAAACATTCCTAAGGTTCCTATTCAGGATAACAGAAAATGTTTTTGTTTTTTTTAAATCAATCTTTATTGTTCATATTATTACAAAGGTTCCTCATTTCTTCCCCCCTCCACCAGGTTCCCACCCCACCCTCCGCCCCCTCCCCATCCCCCATTGTCCTCATCCATAGGTGCACAGTTTTTGTTCAGTCTCCTCTTCCCTCCCTTTCCCCGATAGTAAATCCCTTTTCAGATAGTAAATCAGTTACTTAGCATTTTCTCATATCAATAATACCTCCACATGCGCAATGATACACTTCACACAAAAGACATTTCCCAAT